TTCAGAACATGCTGAATACTAGTACTACTACGCGTGCCGGTTTCAAAGGCTTAAGCATGTGCACTGTCGGCACTGGTACATGTAATGTTCATGCTGCCATATCAACACAGACTACCCAAGGCCAATCCTTATATAACAGGCCATACAAAGTAAATTTGTTGGTTCTCAGATCTAAAGACCATTAACATGAAAACACGAGTCTGAGGGGAAAGTTTGTTATACTGTAAAATTTGTCAGTTTTTTGTATCATGGGATAGAATGTACGTCTGATTCCAGTTACTGTTATTTAAGCTACATGTGCCTGTGTGAGTGGTTTTTGAGGCTTTATTAACAGTAAGTGTCTTTTAGTGATATGTTTATTTCTGATATCAATATTTATTGATATTAGGCTGTTACAACATTTGCAAGGCATGTATATAGTACATTGTTTATATACTGGTGTTCTAAGCTGGTCTGTATTTTATTTACAGTAATCCACAAAATTCGAGCAGTGGATTTGGACATTGAAAGCTTTACAAAGGCACACAAAAACATTGAACGACCATACAGACTAAGATGACTTGCAGAGACATTGCTTTCGCCCTCCTGTGTTTTGCACTTGGCCTGACTCAGTCTCGTCTGCCTTGTCGTGATATCTGTGAGATAAAACACAGCGGACAATGTGAGATACCAGAGACGATGGGGACTGGACTTGTGTCCTACTTCAACCATACGGTGCCCTGTGCAATCTGCAATGTAACCGAACAGGCACAAGAGAATCTGCTTGAGTGTATTCCTAGCAATCTCGTCATACTGCAAGTTGCAGGGCACAACAGCAAGGACGGCACGCCGGAAAAGTTACCCCAAGTGTCTCTCCAAGCTTCACACGCTAGTCCTGGGGCCTGGAAACATTATTCGGATGGTCAGAAGTGGGGTGTTTTTGGGAGATTTCAAAAATCTTCGGACACTGACGATGAATAATAATGCCATTCAAACAGTTGGGAGCTGGTTTGACCTGCTTTGGAGGCTGAAGAAGCTTTACCTGTCTTGGAATGAAATCAAAGAAATCAAAAAGGACGCCCTGCAGCCACTGGTAGAGCTTGAGCATCTTGATCTGACACATAATCATCTTCAAGTGCTGAAAAGTTGGCACTTTGCAGACACAAACTCAAGTGTCTGAAACTGAGCCACAACAACATCTCTCACATTGCTGGAAAGACTTTCAGTCGTGTGTACAAGCTTGAATTTATATATCTAGACCATAACAAGATAGCCCATCTGAGGGCTGCATGGCTGGAAGGGCTGCCACAGGGGACACATGTCAAACTCCAAAACAATTTGGTACAGGCACTCTCTAACAAGACACTTAAAGCCATGATCAAAAACTTTGTCTACATGGAGAACAATCTTTTCCGATGCACTTGTGCTGTAGACAGCTGGAAAGCTAAAGGAGCTAAAGGCAATACAAGATTATGGGAGCTTGCAGTGCAGCTATCCACCCAGCCTTTTGGGTAGAAAGATTGCAAATGTGATGAGCGAAATGAATGAACAAGGGCTCAAACAAATGCTTTGTCCACCACCTACAGCCAAGGTGCATGTAACACACCAGGACAACAGAGCCGCTCTCGTGTGTGAAGTTTTCTGGGAGCAGCAGCAGCCAGAGACCATCAAGTGGTTAGATCCAGAAGGAAGGGATGTCACACATGGAAGTCTTGATCCATGTGGTAATACTGTAAACAAAAAGTTGGTCCACGAGCATCCGACTAACCAGTCTCCTGAACAAGGAACCACATGTACACTCTCAGCCAACTCTTCAAGCCCACCCTATGTCGGCAGGTCCACCTACATCATCTACATGAGTCCACAAGGTTTACACTGTGAACACTGGGGGGGAGGGCAGCTTCCAGTGTGTTGTGGAGTCTGCAACAGACATAGTCTCTGCAAATCTATCGTTGACCAAGGCAAACGGATCCTCTGAGGCTCAGACTCAAAACAACTGCAGGGATGAAGAAGTAACCACCAAAATCAACAATAAGGACCCAAAACAGGATTCCACCACTCCAGGAGCTGCCAACGTACGGCACAATGTGTTCAAGTCAGCTGTCAACCTGACAACACTCAGTACAAGGAACTCAACAATCATCAAAAGGACTAACTTTACTACAAATAACTCCCTTCAAAATGGTACCACACCAGGAACTAATGATCTACATAACCACACAGCCATCAACACTACAACACCTTCCAGAAGGTAGGAAGCAGTTTTTACAGACATCTTTGACAAGATCCCAGGACGTCAGCAAGACGGCATGGCTATGCTGACCTACATCATTAGCACTTGTCTGGTAATGTTTCTTCTGGGCGGGGCTATGGCTGCTTGTCACAAGGGCTACAGGAGGCGACAAGAACGTCAGCGTGTACCAGGCAATGCTGCAATTGCTAGCAGAGACACGCCACTGCAAAACAGCCAGCAACAAGAAATCGGAAACCCAGCAACTCCACAGCCTGCTTACGAAGAGATCCCGGATGTTAACAACACAGATCTAGACGTGTCTCCATATGCCACCACTGTGGACATGGCAAACCCCATGTACAATGTTAACACAGCCTCAACGGAGCCAAAAGGAGCGAGATCAGTCCAGGACTCCCCTCCCCTACCCAAAAGGGAAACCGTGCCTTCCCAACAATCATCCAACAAATATGCCAACTCCAGTGTGCCTTCCCAACAATCATCCAACAAATACGTCAACTCCAGTGTGCCTTCCCAACAATCATCCAACAAATACGTCAACTCCAGTGTGCCTTCCCAACAATCATCCAACAAATACGTCAACTCCAGTGTGCCTTCCCAACAATAACCCAACAAATATGTCAACTCCAGTGTGCCTTCCCAACAATCATCCAACAAATACGTCAACTCCAGCGTGCCTTCCCAACAATCATCCAACAAATACGTCAACTCCAGCGTGCCTTCCCAACAATCATCCAACAAATAAGTCAACTCCAGTGTGCCTTCCCAACAATAACCCATAAAACTTATATGCCTCACAACAGAATACAAGTTGAAGAGATAATTCTTTTGAGCATCACAAAAATGATAACTTTTTAGTAATATTAGCATCATGTCATATCATGTATATTGTCACGAGACAGGTACCAAGTAAATCATTATGATTAAAATAATGATAATATTATCATACCACAGAAGCAAAACTAGAAATTATGTTGAGTTTGCAGAAAAGTTTCCTTCAGCGGGGGGGGTGCACTATATAAGATAAAATATTAGCATTATGCCCCTTTTGCCTAGACAATGATTGTTGAGAGACAAAACTTGGATGTCTCCCTTCACTTTATAAATACAACATAATGCACAATATTAAAGTATGCTTTCAAAGACTACAGAGCACAAAATAGTTTAAGATTTTATTCTTCTATAATTCTTTATCTGTGAAATTAATTGAGGAATATGTTTAACTTTTGACTGACCACAGCCTCCGAAGTTGAAAGGGGGTGCTAGCATGATCAATGAAAAGACTGTATTGAAAACATGATTTGGTTGTAATTTACAGTAGAGGAAAAAGACTCTTGAGATGTATGAAGGATATTGTTTCCATTGGCAACTATTTTGATGTTATAAAAAAAATTTTGTATTGGATAATATTTTGAAGGGTTTCAGACGTCCAACTTTGTCAAGAAATATCACCAATAAAATGAACTTCTAGTATGACATTGTGTCCTCCAACATATTTGATTACACTAGTATATACTATATATACTAGTAGTTAGGATGAAACAAACCAGACTTTATTATGAAGAAGTAGCTTTTAGCTGAAGGTTACACCAATTTGCATATCCTTGGTTTTCTGACATTCTGAAGTAAATTTCGGCATCAGCAGAACGTGAAAACGGAGGGCTGGGAAGAAACTTGGATGGGAGAAATTACAGCATATTTAACAATCTCTCTGATGAAAATTTTGTGCCAAACAGCTACCTTAGCAGACTGTCAATATTCTTTCCATTTCTGAACCAAAATGGCGTAAGTTAGACATAAAATGAATCTTCTGTAAAATTCTTGGTAACGATGAAAGATACTTGTACATGTATGATTACAGACCAACATGATGCTATTGGCTGCCAGGATCCCATCCCAACATAGCAGCTAGCTATAGACCAGGGAATGACACGTTGCACAAATTTCACAAGTTTTGAATGGGCCACATCAATACAGTTTTCTGGTTCTTGACATAAAAAAAAACAAGGAACTGCATTTTGTATAGCCAGAAGTTCAGCACCAAGGACAGATACTACACATTGATTTAAGTTGCTGAATTTTTGATAAAAATGTCAGAGAACCAAGGAAATGAATTGGTATAGAAAAAAGATGAATAAACATCTATGCAACTCAAGGCTTGGCAAGATCAGATGAGATGAAAGATAGAAGTTCAATGTGTGCACGCCAACGACAGTTTTTCATCTACTTATTAGTCTACCAGTTGAGACAACCCCACCTGAGTTGGGAGCACCACACCTCAAATTCACCCAGCGCCGACCAGAGAAAACCTGTTTTTCCTGACCAGAAATTTTGCCAGGAACAGTGTCCGAGACAACTTGATCCAGTTCTGTCAGTATTTGCAGCTTTCAAGGCTTCACGTAACAGTAAGTGTTATGTAGATTTCTCTGATACAGGCAAATTTGCAGACAGAACAAATACACCCTCTGAAGTACGAGTTCACAAAATATTACCCAGTGCAGATTTTTTCTGCAAATTGTAGGTATAACTATATATTTCAGCCTTCAGGTATTCTGTAAAGTTTGATTTATTGAGACTGACATATATACAGCAGGTGACAAGGAGTAAATAAGAGTAAAGTGGCTTTTTCCCAGGTATAGCACTGGGGGCCTGCCATGGATTTGTACACCGAACCTTCAGGTTCTGAGTCAAACCTAACCACAAGACCACCTTGCCACTAAAGGTACAAATAACATCTTGTTCTCATTCTGACGTTGCCAACAGATTCAAAATGTCTCAGTCCATCAGAGAAGAGAACAATCCTGTTTATGATACAAACCATCCAGAGGAGCCGACAAGCCTAGGAAAAAATGAACAAGATAATCTACCCTCTGATCAGAATGTGCTGTACATAGAAAGCACTACTGCAGAGCCAACAAGAAAGTCAACATGCGGTCAGAACTCTCCCAGCAGTCAAGGACAAGACAGCTGCAGGTTGGAGGCTACATATGTAGCTGGCAATGAAGTCGAACATGCAACCACAAATGAGCATTATTATATGTCAGATAATAACGATATCCCCACCCCAGGGGTTGCTGATGTATATTCTGTATCTGATCCGATCCATGCTGAAAACTCTGCCATGTACACAGCCTCAGGGGAAAATGATGAAGATGGTAACTCTACTGGAAACATTGAAAAAGAACAGCAAAACACTGAAAATGCCAAGCAAGCAGACAGTACAGTGACCATGAATTTCAACTCCAACAGAAAGGCTAACAAATCTCAGCCTGACACCACCGTACATGCACACAAGCTTTGCAATCCTCAAATAAACCCAGCAGATCTACTTCAAAATCCAATGTACAGATCAAACCCCAAACATGCCAATAAACGTCATGGTAAACCTTACGCTGTTAGATACATTGAGGAAGAACCCAAACCAGACAGTACAGTGACTGATGATGGTGACATCAAACCTTACGCTGTTAGATACAGTGACAAAGAACCCAAACCAGACAGTACAGTGACTGATGATGGTGACATGGAACCTTACGCTGTTGCAAACATGTCCGATCACGAAGCCTATCTCAGTGCAACAAAAAACATTCGCCAACAGGCTTCAGATGACACCACTGGTCATGACACCACCGTACACGTACACAAGCTTTGCAAACCACCAATAACTCCAGCAGATCTTCATCAAAATCCCATGTACAGATCAAACCCCAAACATGCCAATAAACTTCCTGGTAAGATGGCCATGCAAGCAGACAGTAAAGTGACTGGCGACGGTGACATGGAACCTTACGCTGTTACAGACATGTCTGATCACGAAACTAATTTCAGCAGAACAACAAACATTCACCAACAGGCTTCAGATGACTCCAGTCAAGACACCACCAAAAATGTACACAAGCCTCACAATCCTCCAAACGCAAAGGAACTTCATCAAAATCCGATGTACATACCAAACCCCAAACAGGAGAAAAAACTTCACGGTAAGACATTAACTTGTGTTTCATGACAGAATATAGATCTAGGTCTAGCTTCTTGTTTATAATTGTTGTCATAATCTGTAACAATCCAGGGCTTGAAATACTTTTTCTGCACACCTGCACCAGTGTATACATGAATAACATTGAAAATTACCTGCAACAGACAAATTTACCTGCACCACTCAGAACATTTGATGTATGGATCATACTTAAAACCATTCAGAAACCATTGTCATTATTTCTTTTACACTTTATAGGTGGTTACAGTCAATGCAGCAAATAAAAATCCACAAACACCTAGTACATGTTTATATAAACCCAGTACATGGACCAATGCAGGCTAGGTACAGGCAGACATCAGAAATGCAAACCTCTAACTTTCCCTGCACTAAGGTGCATATGCACCCAGTATTTCGAACCATGATTTGAATGTTGTGCCTGTTCAATGAATATCTATTCTTTTATTCTAAACAAAAAAACAAAAACAAAAAAAAACAAAATTTATAAACAAAAGGCTGCTTTACAGTGACTCCAAGTTGCTTTATTGCTGCTTTGGGAGTTGTCCTGCTGGTTGTGGGACCAATCATAGGCCTAGGATTTTATTTCTACGCCCAAGGCATGCAAAAGGTAAGATCAACAGCTTTTCCAGGCCACAATTAAACATCTAATAAAACAAAAAGACACAAACAGTACTAGTCTTTTGTACCTCGTGCACTAAAGCTATTGTCTAAGACCTGATCTTTGTATACATAGTGGTTTTATGATGTTATTTTTCTCTGGTAGTACTGATTTTAGAATGTGATAAGTTTTTATGATATATTTTATATATAATTGGTTTATTGTTTCAATTGAAAGCAATACACTAAAATACATTGCAGCGACTTGTACATAGTACAAGTCGCTGAATTATGCATATTAGGCAGTTACAAGAAATGAATAAAACACTTGATAAAATCTATAGAAACTACTATACATTGCAAAATAATTAAAATAATTAGACAATAATCATTAGACAATAATCATAATAAAAATTACCACACACTGATAGGTTACCTGACGTTGTTCAGAAGTGCAGTGAAGTATGGAATGGGGCTGTTTTTATATCTATTTATTACTAATGATGCAGATAGATGAAGGATTTTATGCTATAATTGTGCACAAGTTGTAAATACTCAAACATATTTCATGCACATGTGGCATGCCAGTCGATATTCAATAAATCTGAATCTGAATTCCCAACACTTTCAGGAAGGAAAATCATACCATGCTATCATGAAAGACAACAATACACACAAAAACAAAAAGTTTTTCAAAATAATTTTGAGCACAAGTTTTGTATATTTTTACTTTCAACTCACTGGTAGACTAATAAGAAGGTTCAAAACTGCCCTTGGCGTCAATGCACAGAACTTGTATCTTTCATATCATCTGATCTTGGCAAGCTTTGAGTTGCTCAGACGTTTATTCATGTTTTTTTTCACTATAAGCCCAAACCAATTTTATTCCGTGGTTGTCTGATATTTCTTGTAGGAAAAATTCAATAACTTAGTACTGAATAATCAATGTATAGTACCTGTCCTTGTAGCCTGATTAAATCGCTTTTGCCTGCCGCCCAACATCCAGCCGGCCCCCGAACTATGTAGGGAGCCCCCCCGGAGCTTGGGTTACATAGGCTACTGTCCTTGGTGCTGAACTCCTGGTTGTACAAATTTGCTGTTTTTTCATTGTACGGGCCAACATAAAAGCATTTTGGAGTTGATTCTAAATCTTTTTATTCTTTCAAATCAGGCAAAATCGTAGGAAGTGCATGGCAGAATATAGTTGGAGAGGCTGGTCATCATATACATGAATGTGTTTAAGTTAACTAAAAAGTGCAGTAGTTTGTTGGGATAGATCATGCATGCAAAGGCAAACATTTTGCGTTTGCTTTGCAAATGTTACTATACTTCTAGTTTTACATTTCTTCTTATTACTGCTTTTCCAGGATAGTCCTATGCAAGAAGTCAACAACTTGACTACACCAAATGCAACAGAATTGACTAACACAACTATAGCTACCATCAAAACTGCTGACAGTACCAACCTGCCAATCTTTGGTGGTATCAATGGTACCACCCCATCCAGCTTTGGTGGTATCAATGGTACCAGCCCACCCAGCCTTGGTGGTATCAATGGTACCACCCCATCCAGCTTTGGTGGTATCAATGGTACCAGCCCACCCAGCCTTGGTGGTATCAATGGTACTAGCCCACCCAGCCTTGGTGGTATCAATGGTACCACCCCATCCAGCCTTGGTGGTATCAATGGTACCACCCCACCCAGCCTTGGTGGTATCAATGGTACTAGCCCACCCAGCCTTGGTGGTATCAATGGTACCACCCCATCCAGCTTTGGTGGTATCAATGGTACCAGCCCACCCAGCCTTGGTGGTATCAATGGTACCACCCCACCCAGCCTTGGTGGTATCAATGGTACCACCCCATCCAGCCTTGGTGGTATCAATGATACCAGCCCACCCAGCCTTGGTGGTATCAATGGTACCAAACCACACGTATTTGGTAGTATTAATGGTACAAGGCCACCCAATGGTACCAACCCACCACGCCAGAAAGGTAGGCACAGACATTAAATTAGCCAAGTTCCAAAGTAATAAAAAGTATGAGGTTGGAGAATTTATCTTAAGCAACTTGAATTATCCCATACTAGATGAAAGGAATGCTATGTGAGGGAATGAGTTAAACATTTCTTTTGGAGATAATATCAGACCCCCTGCTGTGGTCATGTTTTTGGACTCAATGTGCACCTTGCACTGCAGACATGGCAGAAAGTTGTCCTTCTGTACCTTAACCCTACGTCTGGAAAAATTCAGGTGAGAACCCTGAGTAACTATCACATGATGGTGGCATCTTTTAGGTGGGCCAATCAGTCAGGCAAGGTCCTCTGGGTGCTTGATGGCAGCTACAATCCTACTAACATCTGATATTCTCTCTTGGTTTGATGCTGGGAAACTGGACTTATACTAAACAACCTTTATCATAGGAAATTCAAACTCTACTACTGGATAAATTACGGGAAATAAATTCTGGATGTTTCGAGTGACATCCACCACTCTTCTTCAGCATCACTAATGAACTACATGTAACAGATTAACACATATCTACATGTAGGAATGAGTGGAAAAAACAGCTGAACATGAGAAAGGCTCATATATTTCCTATGAGTATTGTTTACCTGGATGTCTGACCTTCATCAACCTAAACAACTGTTTATTAGGCCACACCAATTCAATTTGTTGCTTCTCAGATTGCCCTGTCCATTTTTTTTCTGATTTGCAAATTTAAAGTTCTAAATTAACTGTACAATGCTCATATTTTGAGCCCCAACGGTTGGAGAAAGTCCTTTTCTTCCTACTTCTTAAAGTCTTTCAATGTAACAATGCAATTTTGTTTCAATGAAAGTTCAAAATCTATTGTTAAATTATAAACCAGCCTGGTATGTTCACTTCATGGTTCATATTGTAACATTTCCGGCTATCATGGGGTGCCTTGGCCTATTTTTAATTTTTATTTCACCCTGTCGCTTCATATTTTTTCTGAACAAATCTGACAAACAACAAATGAAATTAGTATGGCCTTTGTGACCTTTGTATCACCGATGCAGAAGGTGTCTGTGAGAAGGGGACCCTGCAGATGGTTTGTGCAGCAGATGAGCTGATTGTCATCGACGATGCCTCTAGCTTCCTCAGTCGAAGGGGAAAAGATCTTCACACACTGACTGATGTAACGGCAAACTGTCAGGGGCTACAGCAGTGTGACATAGATTGTCAGAGCACACTATTTAAAAATCTGACAGCAACATACCACTGTGAAGGTGGGCATATCTATCTATTTCTCTTCTTATGGTAGCATTGTGTGCTTTAAACAGGCACAGGTACAGTGGTTAAGGTACAGGAACTGGATCTAAACAAGTCTGGCCAATGATCAGTGTCAGTTTCACTGTCTTTACTTAGTTTCTATTAGCTATGAAGGACTTACATACCTTTAGGCCACAGCAAGTAATTTTTTTGGATGACATCAATGCGCGCATTAATTTTTGGCTGATTTTGGAAAAAAAACAAGAAATTTTGTTAAAACTTTTGATCCAACACCAAACATTCTCTGGTCTTGCTCAGTAGACTGACCCAGTGAAGCTTGTCACGTGGCTTCTTTGAAGTGTGACGTCAACACTGGGTCAAAGGTATCTGGTAGACGATGTCGGCCCCCGTCACCCGGACATTTTGTTTCACTTGACACTAAGGATTTTAGACACAATTTCCTGAGAGGGGTGAAGGAAGCCATATACATCAGGGCCCATCACCCTTCATTGAACCGCGATGGGGGGCTGACATCGTCTACCAGATACCTTTGACCCTGAGTGTTGACGTCACACTTCAAAGAAGCCACGTGACAAGCTTCACTGGGTCAGTCTACTGAGGAAGACCAGAGTGACTGGTCGAAAGCTCTAGGTGAGAGAATGTTTTGGTGTTGGACCAAAAGTTTTAACTTTAAACAAATGGGTAAAGATGTCTGCTGCCATGCCAAAAGGTGGATGGCAGATAACTATGAAGAGAGGAGACAAGAAAAGACTCTGATTTAAGTTTTGTTTCTTACTATGTGATCACAGTGATATGTGATGTTGGCTGTGTATATGTGATGTTCCCACTGAATTAAAGCCATTTGTACCACGATTGAGTCAAAATTTTAAAATGTAGGAACCTTGTTTTTTTTCGCCCGCTCGCATTAGTCTGCGGAGGATATCATCCATAAAATTTACTTTTGAAGTACTAACGTCATATTTTATCATCGTAAGTCTAAAAAGTGATGTCCTGATACACTACAAAATATAACTGACTATTTTACTCTGTTTACCAGCAGAAGTGAAAAAGAATGTCACCTTTGGTGGGGAGAGGAGAAGGCCCCGGCCAGTTCCGGCCAGCGGGTGGACTGGCCGTGTCCTCAACTAACGAGATATTTGTGGCTGACGAGCACAACAAAAGAATCCAGGTCTTCAGCATGAAGGGAGGTTTCCTACGCAGTTTCCCCACAGGAAACATGAAACCACAAGCCGTGTGCATGGGCAACAACGACACCCTGTGGGTCGCGTCGTACCCACGTCGGGCGTCTGATTATGGACATGCCATTCAACAGTACAGCAAAGAAGGCAGTGTCCTTGCTAAGTTTAAATGCAATGACACTAGACTCTGTAGCATTGCCTGGCACAAGTTTTCTGGCAGAATCATACTCAGTCTGAAAAAACTGTCAGCACGTGCACATCTCAGCACTGCATGGTTAAGTCCTACTTACACACAGACAGAGGCAACACCATGGCTGACGTGTGACATGACCGGGTTTGGATCAAAAGGAAGTAAGTTCGTAGTTCCACAGTTTGTCACCGTGGACAAGAATGGGAACATCTTCATCGCTGACAGCATTAAAAATCATGTAGAAAAATATGACAAGAACGGAGTCTACCTGTCCAGGTTTGGTAGTAGAGGTACCGGAGCAGGGAATCTTTCTTTCCCCTCAGGAATCTGTGTGGACAGTTTGGGGCGTGTGATTGTGGCTGATACTGGGAACAGCCGAGTGGAGATGTTCACAGCTGAGGGAGAGCACATCCGCACCATAGCTTATATTCGTAAACCCGGATATGTTGCTACAGGTGGGGAGGGGCAGCTTGTGGTTACACTTGGGGAGGGGCAGCGTCTGGTGCCATATAGTTACCGCATAACCATCTTTCCCAAATATTAGAGCCACAACCACTTTTTTTCACTGCCAAAAAAGGGAGACCTTGGTTATGCAACTAACTATAGAGGAATCAGTTTGTCGGCTACATCAGCAAAAATTTACAACAAAGTGTTGAGAAATAATCAAAATGGTTTTCAGCCAGGCAGATCAACATTATCTCAGATATTAGCTCTTAGAAGACTCATTGACAGTATCAAGGATCAGAATCTCAAAGCAGTCATTACATTTTATAGAATTAAGTATAGCCTTCGATTCTATTTGTCGCTTGAAGTTAATGGAAATCTTGAGAGGATATGGCATACCAGACAAAATTGTTGAGGCAATTAACATCCTCTATAAAGGTACAAAGCTAAAGTGCTCTCACCAGATGGTGAAAAAAATAACAGCAGGTGTTCTACAAGGAGATACTTTGGCGCCCTTCCTTTTTAAAGTGGCTTTGGATTATGCTATGAGGCAAGCCACTGAGCAACCAGACCTCACTGGACTTGTACTCAAGCCAAGAAAGAGCAGAAGATACCCAGTGGAGTTATTACCAGACACAGATTTTGCTGATGATACTGCCCTTATCTCAAATATGATAGCAGAAGCACACGTTATTGTTGCACGGAATAGAAAATGCTACCAAAATTGTGGGGCTTCATGCCAATGATTTGAAAACAGAGTACCTGTATATGGTTTTCAACCAACCCGAGGGAGCTCTGATATCAACAAAAGGTCAGGCTCTAAAGTGTATGCAAGACTTCAAATATTTGGGATCTTGGGTAAAAAGTTCGACAAGCAAAGATGTTGAGGTAAGAACTGCTCTTGTTTAATTGGGGAGCCATGAGTAAGACGCCAGTAGTGTGGAAAACTGATTTAAGCCCAGCTGCAAAAATCAGTTTCTTTAGAGCAGCAATAGAATTAATCCTTCTCTATGGGTCAGAGTGCTGGACACTGAAAAAACACCGGAGAGAAGGTTCAATGGCATACACTAGAATGCTGAGAAATGTCTTGAACATCTCACAGACACAACTAATTTCAAACCGTGAGCTGTACAAAACCATACTCAGTCTGCCGATTGAAACAATACGGCAAAGGAGACACTACATTTTGTAGGCCACTGTTGGAGGAAAAAGGAAAAAGGTAGACAGTACACAAATCTTACTGTGGAACCTGAGTCAAGGAAAGAGAAGTCTTGGAAGACCACATTTAACTTACATAAAGAAACTAGAAGCTCAGACACTGTGGAATGACTCTAAGTCAACTGCCTGCTGTGAGATGGAGGATAGAGAGAAATGGAAACAGACAGTCATGGGGAGACTGCGAGCGAGCTCGACACATGTACAGTGAGTGTGAGTTAGAACCACAACAACTCATTTCTGAATCAGTGGTTCTCAGACATTTTTCAGTACATATTCAGCAAAAGGATGAGGTACATGTAAAAGACTGGAAGGAAAACTTGAGTCTGACTACATTTACTTAACTGAAACTGATCAGTTAACAGCAGGGGACAGTGGACAGACTTGCAATAATTGCTTTTGGTTGTATCAATTACTAACTGGTAATTTAAAATCAGTTTGTTTGATTGAGTTAATAAGCATAGTATTACATGTACTTATAAGTGCCTGTTTGGCTGCGATTTCTTTCTTTTAAAGACTGCCAGCAAAATATACTCAATTCAAGAAGAAATGCAGGAAAAGTGTGGGCAAAGTAGACAATTTTCAATTACTGCATGTTAATGACTGTAAATTAGCTGAAATTAACATGAAACAACCAAATGGTTGATGATGTAACATGCATTAATTTTGTAATATGAAGAAAGAGAACAAGTAATTTACGTCCATGTAAATTGCACAAAGTGAATCACCCAATAGAGTAGAATTAACTACCAGTAATATCAATGATTCACGTTAATGTTATTGTGTTGTAGAATGAAGTAAGAGCATTGAAACTGTAGTCACCTTCTTCTATCAAGTAAAAGTGCATTGGACCTCCTACCAAGGATCACAACAACTGAGGCACTGTACATACATGTAAGCATGGTTCAGTAAAAAAAACTGTTCCATAGACGTTGACTACATAAAGGGCATACAAGTATACATTGCAGCAACAAGATGATAACATTGTACAACTGTTACAAATTTAAAGTGCAAAAAGAATGTGTACTTGCTGAATTGCAGTAGCAGCAAACGTTTAACAACTCAAAAGAATGCATTTAATTTATAAGAAGAGATGGGATGACTGAATGTGCTAGCAAAGCTCTCTACACTAATACTTACATTAGGACGTCATACCGGCATATCACTGCATGACCAGCATATTTATGACACAATCACTTGTTCTGCCAAGACGCTATTCAACTAAGCGAAACCATGATTGCAGAGCTCAAAATTCCCACCAACAATCATAATTTATACTTTGGCAGGTTTAAAAGATACAGGCCTGCTGTATTCTACATGTATAAAGTGACACTGGATATATACAATGTATATAGTTTGGGAGTTTCAATCCCAGCTGTTGTTGCTCACTTAACATGCACACAACTGAAAAGAGTTGCAGGTGTTTAACTAAGGACGGGACGTTAAGCTGTGCTCCACTGTTCATTGTGCTATGGTCGAAAAGACCTACGGGAATTTCCCTGGTACAATGAACCTGTAAATACTGTACATACACATGTGGCATCTGTCTTCTCTCTCATGATCAGTGGAAGAATTAGTTTTCACTGGATCAAGAGAATCTCATTTCTAGTGGTCTATCAGGCCAGGAACAAACAAGAAAAACAATTCATACTACATAACTACAAAATCTTTAATCAACTTCTTTTCCAGGGCCCGACTGTAAAGCAGCGGCTACCCTGGCTTAAGAAAAGAAAAGAAAAGAAAAGAAAAAACGTGAGCCATTAATTAGCCAGTGATTTGGTGTATTAATTACCACATTGGCCTGATTTAATTTAGGCCACACCAATTTAATTTGTTGGTTCTCGGATTTTTTCAGAAAAAAAATGAAGTGACAGGGTGAAAAAAAATAAAATAAAAACAGGTCTAGGCATCCTATTATAGCCCTAAATACTACAATAGCTGAAGTCAACACAAAAGGCTGGCTAATATTCAAACAATGACTCTTAAACTTTTACTCAAACCACTGCATTGATAGATGAAAAACTGTAACAATTAGAAAGAAAGACTTTCCTTAACTGTTCGGGGCAAAATATGAGCATATTTGAGTTGATTCAGAACCAGACTTTTTTTTTTTTTGCAAATCAGAAAAAAATAGAAGAG